TTGTCAAGGGTGGTCGTACTCCCACCAAAATCACACTGGTGTTTGCTGTCCCCCTCTAGTCTGGGCACACACAAGCATTTTACTCTGGGCTCAGCAGGTGAGAAACTAAAGAGGGGCTTCCACATGTGGCAGACCGGGTGTTGGTGCTGCCAGATTTAGCACAATATGACACACACACACACACACACTGAGCCTTACCTCGTCCACATCATCACAGTTGAATCCGTCCCCGGTGTATCCGTCCGGACACGGCCCGCACTCCACGCCGTCGGCCGTCTCTATGCACCGTACATCACGGAAACACACACCTGGACCACACCTGGGTTTCACCACCTCAGTCCCCCCCAGCCCTTTGAAGGAAAGACAAAAAAACAAATTTTGTTGTGAAAATACTGAATGTACTCTTCCAATCTGAGAGTACCATGATAACAAAGGTATCCCAACTGTAGCTGTGAACATGACAGGATGTGTGATTACCTAGAAGAGCATCAGGACTGTTAGAGGCATATGATAGCTATGTGATTAACATGATGATTCAGCCTCTATGGAGAGAGACATATGACAAGCATGATCATTTCTGACGTGGAGCTAATCTGAAGTAAACATTGAATACTGCTTTCTATTCCTCCATCTTGTGACTGAGTAACTCCCTCTCTTGGATATCAGCATGTGAAGGACACTGTTCAGGAACTAGTTGATGCTCTGTATATGATGACTACTTCCATTCTGGAGAGGATCACAGATACATGGATCCTGAGATTTATTTTCAAGTTGGGGACCAGGGATTATTAACAATTTTAAGTATTCAGAAAAAGTCAAGACTTTGAGAAAAAGTCAACATTTTGAGAGAAAGTCATTTTTTTTGATTTTGAGAAAAAGTCAGAATTTTGAGAGAAAGTCAGAATTTAGAGATTTTGAGAAAAAGTCAGAATTTTGAGAGAAAGTCGAAATTTTGAGAAGAGTCAGAATTTTGAGATTTTGAGAAAAGTCAGAATTTTGAGATTTTGAGAAAAGTCCGAATTTTGAGATTTTGAGAAATGATTTTGATAAGCTGCTCTGTATGTGATGACTACTTCCATTCTGGAGAGGATCACAGATACATGGATCCTGAGGTTGAAGCTCAAGCCGGTGATGAGCGATATTTTTCTAACACATTTAAACCATCATCATCTGATATTTTGTTTGTTAAAGAAATTGCTGCTTAATAGAAGTTGTCTTACCGCAGGCCTGACACTCTGAGATGGTGTTTCTGAGGAATGAAGTCTCTTTGACCTGTGAAAAGGTGAAACATAAATAAGTCTGTATGCAGTAAAGCTGTCGGGGGGGTCAGGGGTGAGGAAGCAGGGATGAAGTGGTCTCAGTGGGGCTGTTAGTGTAACTCACCTGCTGAATGAGGACGTCTTTCAGCTCATTTATCACCTTCGTTAGGTCCAGCATTTGGTTGGACAGCTGCTTCGTGTTGACCCCTGAGAGAAAGGCACTGTTTACTTTGTGAAACTGAAGAAAGGTGAGAGGGGTTTCTGAGCCTGTTCTCAAGTGACAAACTGAGAAAACACTCGGCTGTCTCTGTAGACTTCTTACCCAGGGTTTGGACGGAATCTTTTTGTTGGAAATGGCAGTCTTGTATTGAAGCAACGTTCTCAAACGTGTCCCCGACCACCAGCTTGAGCTCGTCTAAACTCTCCTGTTGGAATAAAACAACACACAGAGGACAGCTTAGCCAATTTGGATCCATTTATGGGACGGAAACATTTCCATTATTGTATGGAAATAGAGTGGTGCAGGGATGTATTTTTTCACGTTAAACTTGATTTCACGTGACCACCGCTAAGCAACAGTAAAGGCGGCTAATGTTGGGCTATAAAGGAACTACAGCACGGTCACATGACTTCACGTCACCACCGCTAAGCTAAAGGTGGCTAATGTTGGGCTTGGTGACGTTTAGTCGTCTCGTTTAGACACTTGTCAACAGATGCAGTTTTAAAATGTAACACTGGAGTATTCACGGACGTATTTTATGTCGTAGAACAAAACGGTAAAATCTCTTCAGCTTGTGATAACCACAGACCTTATTTCAGGCTTACAACCAAAAACACAATCAGAAAGCCATTGACTTACAGACCAGACCAAATGCTGACTCATTCCAGCTTTAGGACTCATTCC